TTTAATTGGTGCATTTATGCCACTGACTTTCAGAGTGCTTACTGATAGAGTTACTACCATATCAGGCGGCTTCTGCGGGGGCCGAGCTGCCTCACTGCCCAGGGTCTTAAGAGCATTTTCTTTTTTTTTTTTTTTTACAAATGAACACAGTGAGGAGTCACGCACCTTTTTTTTTTTTTAACTTTTTAACATGAGGCACAAAAAAAGATTCTTTTCGCGTGCGCTGTTTTACAGCTACAGGCTGAGGGGAGAAGGGCTTCCAGGGGGCAGCCTTGAGGCAGTCACAGCCCCCACCACCTGGGATGGAGGAAGGGGAGGCTGCAAAACGGCCTCGTCTGAGCTCAGATGGACGCCTGCTCCGGGGGCTGCCCTGGATGTTCCCTGTGCCTATGGCCTGAAAGCGGGCTGAGCCCTCGAGGGAACCGTCTGCCCCAAGCCTTCCGTCTTTTCAGGGCTAAAGTCTCACTCTTCCTATCGACCAAGTGTAGCAGCCGCTTAAAATCTAAGGGGTGACCCCAGAACCAAACCTCGTCTGTGCCTGGCTGCCCAGGGGGTGGGCATGACTTTAACAGCCAAGATGAGGGGAAGGGAATAAACTACGTGCAGCTACAACATCTGAAGTAATATTTACATTTGAAAACCTGGGCCGGGAAGCTTGGGACAACATCGTGCTGGGCGACCTGCCCTTTTCCTTCACTTGCCTGAAGCTGCACCTCCTCCACCTCATGCTCCTTTCCCGCAGCTCGCATCCTGAGGTGAACACCCGGCCTCAGCACCAGTCTCTCTGGACATAGCGCCGCCCTGCTCTGAGCCACACCCCCGCCTCTCCATACGTGAGACCGCCCCGCTCTGAGCCACGCCCCCTCTCCGTATGCAAACATGGTGCCGCCTTGTGCTTAGCCACGCCCCCTGCCTTTCCATATAGAAAATGGCGCCTCCCACCTTGGGCTTAAGCCTCCAGGTGAAGAGCTGCCTCCCGCTTCCCGATGTGGAGCCAGATCGGGTCCCCGGGCGGCAAAGCTGCCCGGCTTCTGGTCTTCTGGGGCCAGGCAGCATTGCTGCCCGGGGACCAGATCGGGTCCCCGGGCAGCAACACAGCCTGGCTTCTGGGTCTTCTCCAATCACCGATCACCGATCACCAGTGATCAGTGATCGAAGAAGCCGGGCGGGGCAGGGAAGAGGCAGCTACTGGCATCCACCTCTTCCCTGCCCTGCCCGGCTTCTCTGATCACTGGCTGAGGGGCGGGCAAAGGCGGCCCAGTTCTCCAATCACTGGCCGGGGGGCAGGGCAAAGGCGGCCCCCAG